AAAGTATATTATGTTTACTGTTTGAGAATATGTGTGCTGAAAAATTACTGTGTTTGCTGCCTGAAACTTGTATGTTAAAATGTTATGCTTCGCTTGTATAAAAATGTTAAAAACGTGATGTTCATATAATATTAAGTTGGATAACTAAATGTCAATAAAAATACAACAAAAATCAACATATGAATGATAGCAAATGGATTGGAAGAGACCAAATTTTCAGCTTGCTTGAAATTGGTGTTCTCGCTCAAGAATAGAAAAAATACTTATGTTTTATAAAGTTTCAAAAATTGTGAGGTCATTGGGAAATGAACCCAAGACCTCACAAATTATAAACTACATAAGATTTCATCAGAAAAATGAAAGGAAAAATAAGTGTGAAGAGTGGGGATTGAACCCAAAACCTCTTGAATAGATGAGAGAGATAGGAGAAAAATAAAGTAGAAAAAAAATAAACGTATAGAATGGGGATTCAACCCACAACCTCTTGAATAGATGACAGAGTTAGAAGAAAGAAATATAGGAGAAATATAAAATCAGGTGAATGAGGATTTAACCCACAACCTCTTAAATAGGTGAGAAAGTAAAGAGATAAAATTTATAAAAAAAAAAGAATGAGCTTGTTAGGGACTTATCACAAAACCTCACTTGCCATAAACGAAAAAGAGAGGATGAAAAGGAAGAAAAATATCATGGGAGGCATGGGGATCGAACTAGGGTCCACCAAATCTGAAAAATGTAATTATAACTTTAATATATGATTAAGTGTTACATAAGGGATTCAAAATCGGGTTACCTTGCCAAATTCCATATTGACACATAACTGATACGCAAACATATATTCAATGATTGTTGTCTCCAATGAACGAAATAAATATCTTGGCATATCTACAAGATGCATACGTCTTGTACTATATAATCTTGTGTAAATATGAATCGATTAGACAAACGATTAATAAAGAATCATGGCTTGTTTGTGTTTACTCATAAGTCTTGAATATATTTAAAAGTAAGTGAACCTAAGATGTTATATCATGAGATAATGAAACCCTAAAGGGGTTAAGGAAGAGTTTGACACAAATTAAAGAGCCAAGTAAATTGGCATACAATTAAAGGAGCATTCACGTAAAATGGTGAGTAATTATGATAAGTAAATGTGCTAAAGTTAAAGAATGTAGAGACAATATGATAAGAGGATAATGTGAAAGGTGAGAAAAATCTCAAATGAGCCTAAGTAAATGTTACCAAGACATACTCACATATGAGAGTGTAAAGTTAATGAAGAGACCAGTCTCTATGAACACTCTAGTGAAAGTATTTAAGTGAATGCATACTTAGTACTAATAATGAGATGATAAATCATCTAATGAGCTATTATGCACTTATACTAGAAGTCAGCTTCTATAATTTATGAGATGAATGTGATAAAACATTATAGTGAGCACTGATTGGCTAGATTTGAGTTCTGATTCCTTTCATTACGAATGCAGAGGTTTGTGTAATTCTAATGAGATAAGATTGTCCACCCATACGGTTATGGGTCTCTATATATATCCTAATCTTTGAATCTATACTCACAATAAAGGATTCTAGTAGGTTTTGATTCCCTATACACACTAGCATGTTTTGGTTCACTTTGGCCGGTGATTCAACCTCTTTTTGGTATGGGGTTAAACAATGGATTTTCTGATGCTCACATGATATATGTCGGTTAAGGTCAATGTTCCCAAAGAAATAATGAGGCACCTTTAAGTAATGCACATAATGAAATGAAAGATCCCAAAGGTGTTAGAATAGGAAAATTAAGAGGCGAGCTAGACTTAAGTAATGAAACTAGGTCACTCTTGGTAGTTGCACATCGAACACGTTGATAGTTATAAACTACATCCTAGGTATGGCTGGTGTTCACACTATCTTACGAATGAATGAAAAATAAGTACGTATGGATGAATGTAGCAGACTATGTGTTTGCTAAAGAACGCTCCCTAGTTGAGATCCCATATGTTGAGCTCTCATTTTGGGAAGTTCTAGTGTCAAGTCTATCATTCTAAAGTCTCACGAAATATGGACGAATGATATGAAATATGTTTATTTGCTAATAAATAATATGTTATGGATTGTGTTCAATATGTTACATATGATGATGCATCATACTATCATAGCATGACTTTCCAAATCCAATTTGGGCAAGTACACTGACTTGAGTTTCCATAATTTATATCGTTAGGAGAGAGATCTTCTTATTCATGCATGTACTTGGTCTGTGCTTGCATATACCCAGACATAGCACAATTGTGTACTAATCCCGTAAAATTTTCTACTTTTAGGTGCAGGTGCAGCTCGATGTTAGAGCTAACGAATCTACGCTGAAGTTATTCGGACGTGGATCTTTCATCTAGATTTGGTAGTCCCTCGTGCTTTTGAGGATGCTTAATATTTTATTATAGCATTAGACGTAGACAATAGATAGTGGAGTATGTTCCACTAGTGTATCATTCCCTATTATTTTCAAATATTGTATTGGTGCCATTTTCGCAACTCTATATGTTATACAGATATTGACTATGTCTTTCACTTGATTATGTTTGTATTACATGGTTGTTGTGAAAACTTATGATTTTAGTTAGATAGTCTTATACGAATTCAATGTTTCTCACTATAAAGTCTAATTACACAAAAAGTTCAAATTTTAAGCTACATATTAACCTAGGTAAAGTAACGATGACATGTGTAGGCTTGTTTGTGACCTCTAAGAGGTCAACGATGCCAATTTCAGCTAGCGTATAGACTCCAGTCGTGACAAAGTTTGTATAAGAGCCTTAGGTGAAATTACAAGGATAATAAATTCACATCAACCTAATCGAGTAGTTTCTAACTTATGGTAATGAACTGCACCACTATCATGAATTAAAGACTACATGATGCATAGGAAAATTTCCCTTCTGTTGATCTTATCGTGCTTTCTTTAATGTCTAATTCCTTATTATTATGAGAGTTTCTAACATAAATTCTACTTTTTAAGAAAATGAACACAAGGAGGAACGCTGGTCGGAGAAGAGGAGAAGCAGCTGCTGGGGCAACCAAGTTCCTCCCCGGGCCCAAAATTCTGGAAAGGAGAAGCATGTTAACCAATCTGAGTTAACATTTGGAGAAGTGAAGATATCCCTGGTACAGATGGACGAAACCATCACCTCACAAGATAAGACTATGACAGCCTAGGCATAGCAACATGGTGTTTCCAAGAAGAACCCACCTTCCAAAAATATAGCTAGCAGGTTAAGGGACTTCGCGAGGATGAATCCTCCCATTTACACTAGATATAAGATTGTTGAAAATCTCGAGGAAGACAATAGGTCAGCTATACTTCATGCGAGCATGGACTTTTCAAGGCTTATGGTCTGTGTCCAACGAGTGGAGCAAAACAGAAAAGGGAAGCATAGTAGGATATGGAACTGGTCAAGGCAAGCTGAGAAATTTTTTTTAAGGAAGAGTAGTATTCAAATCAGGGATAAGCCCCTGTTTAAGAAGGGACTCTCCCACCAAGGGGATTCAAGATCATCCAAGGGTCGCTATTAAGGACTATGACATGAATGTCCACTACCATCCAAGTAAGGCGAATGTATGCTTTGACAAGGTTGAGCATGAAAAAAACAATCAACATTAACGATATGTTGAGGGCGTGGGTGATTTACTTAAGAGGTAGTTGAGACGACCATCTTCTTTTGATATTCTTATATAATAATAGCTATCACTCCAGCATCGAGATGACATGATTTCATGATATGTATTGTAGGAGGCGTAGTTCTCCATTTAGGTTGTTCGACGTTGTAGATTCATCCATTTTAGGTTCAGAGATCGTTTATGAGGCTAAGTATGGTCGGGCTGATTAGGGACGGTTCGCTACTGCTTACTGTCGGTAGAAGTCTTATAGAGACATTAGAAAATGACCCTTACAGTATGATGTTGTTTACCAGGTCTATTTGAATATATCACCTATGAAGGAGGTTATAAGGTTTGGCAGGAAGGGGAATTTGAGACCGAGGTATGTTGGGCCATATAAGATTCTACAACATGTGGGTGAGGTGGCCGATAAGTTTGCATTGCCTAGGGAATTAGATTTTGTTCATCCAATATTTCATGTCTCTATATTAATGAATTTCCTAGGTGATCCAGCATTTATTCTACCTGTTGAATGTTTGGGGGTTGATGAAGACTTAGCCTTTGAGAAGGTACCTGTTGAGATTTTAGACAGAAAGATTAAGCGGCTGAGGAACAATGAGATAGGCACAGTGAAGGTATTGTGAAGGAATAATCTTGTTGAGAGTGCTACATGGGATGCATTGTCGAGGCCGATATGATACCCCGCTACCCTCATCTTTTCAGCTCTTGAGGTTAGACTTGTACTCTTGAGTCTTATTTTTAATTATCTCCTCTATTCTTGGTTGTTATTGGTTGACTGTGTATAAAACATACATTAAGATATGACTGGCATTGTGGTAGATTTTAATAAGTATCATTCGGGGACGAATTATGTTGGGGGGGGGTAATATGAAAACCCAAAAAAAGTGTTATGCTAATTAATGCTTAATGTTTCTAGAATGCCTACGATTAGACCAAGTTCACACGGATTGATTCCCGTAGAAACAGAACTCTGAAACCTTGCAAGAGCCAAACCAACCAACTGGGTGAGTTAGTTGATCTAGGAAAGGTTGGGTCCAACAATGTAGACCACCCGAATATGAAGATCTACCTGGATGAGTCTTAACCTTACTTAAAAAGGGGTAATCTTAAGTTTGGAGGGTCTAGGGTAAAATAGTATTTTTCCAAGCTAAGGGTTGTATTGTATTTCCCCTAAATATTTATTTAATTAATTAATTAATATGGTGGAGGGTCAATTTGGATAGAAAGGGCCAAAATCATCCTTTTGAGCAAAATCTTGCTCCACCTAGGTTCTAGCCTAGGTGGCAGCAACAATTTAATTTGATTTATTTTATTTAGTTAATTAATTTAATTAATTAATATGTAATTGGTGATTTAAGAAATAGGAAAAAAATTCAGATTTTTCTTTATAAATTGTTGATTAGTCCTAATTTGACTGAGTCTCTCCCTAATCTCGTACTTTTAAGACAATACTTCCTCACGTTTCTCTCTCTCTCTTTCTCTGATTCACGATCTCTCAATCACCAAAAGAAAAAAAACAGAACGTGAATGATAAAGTTAATCAAGAACATGCAAGCTATAAACTGAAAATCAAAATAATATGAAAAATGAAAAGTAAAAAATCAATTTCTCGAAGATTTTGCTTTTTGTTTCGATAATGAAACTTTTGCTTGGTGGGAAATAGGCAGCACGATTGAATCATCTTTTGAACAACTTCAGGTATGAATTTATTCTCTGTTGGTCCCTTTCCCACGATACCCTTAAGGTTCAATTTAATCGCGATTGAACAACTAAGGTTGTACACATTTCATTCCCCTGTAATTAGATCTTTTGAAAGATTCAAAGCTTGCGTTGGTATGTCTTCCGGTAGATAATTTTATGTTTGGTTCCGTTTGTGTGTTGAATGTGTATTCGCAAATCATGTAAAGTGTGAAAAATATATTTCGGAAAAGTATATCAAGTTCATTTTTTGAGAATGTGCGTGCTCAAAATTTACTATGTTTGCTCTCTAATATTTGTATGTTAAAATGCATTGTTTCGCGTGTATAAATTTTAAAAACGTGATGTTCATATAATTTTAAGTTAGATGATTGAATACCATTCAAAATACTACACAAAATCAACATAAGAATGATAGAAAATATATTGGAAGATACTAAATTTTCATCTTGCTAGAAATAGGTGGTCTCGGCAAAGAAACGATAAAATAGTTATGCTTTATGAATTTTTAAAGATTGTGAGGTCATTGGAGACCTCACCAGTATTAAACTACCAAAAATTTCATGAGAAAAATAAAAGAAAAAATAAATATGGAGAGTGGGGGTCGAACCCACAACCCATTGAATAGATGAGAGAGTTAGGAGAAAAAAATTAAATGTAGAGAATGCGGATTTCACCCACAACCTCTTTAATAAATGAGAGAGTTAGGAGAAAAGAACAAAGTAGAAAAATAAAACGAGGTGAATGGGGATTGAACCCACAACCTCTTGGTTAGGTGAGAAAGTTAAGAGATAAATTTAAAGAAAAAGAATGAGCTTGTGGGAGATTAATCCCACAAACTCCTTGCCTTAAAAAAAAAGAGAGGAGGAAAAGAAAAGAAAATATTACGGGAGTGATGGGGATCGAAGTAGATCCCTCAAATCTGAAAAATTCAATTATCAGGTTTACTATAAGATTGAGTGTTATTCATGGGTTTAAAAATCGGGTTCCCTTCCCGAACTCCGTATTGACACATAAGTCATACGTAAATAAATATTTAATGAATGCTGCCTCTAAATATCAAAATCAATATCTTGGCATATCTACAAGATGCATAAGTATTGTACTATATAATCTTGGTTAAATATGAATCACTTAGACAAACTAAGAATAAAGACTCATGGCTTGTATCTGTGGACTCATAAGTCTAGCAAACAATTGAAAGTAAGTTAACCTAAGATGTTATGTAATGAGATAGTCAAACCCAGAGGGGTTAAGTAAGAGTGTGACACACATTAAAGGGCCAAGTGCATTGGCATACAATTAAATGAATATTCAGATAAAGTGGTGAGTAATTACGAAAAGTAAATGAGCTAAAGTTAAAGTATGTGATAACAACATGATAAGAGGCTAATGGGAAAGGTGAGAGAAATCTCAAATAACTCTTACTAAATGTTACCAAGACGTACTCACCTATGAGATTGTAAATTTAATGAAAAGACAAGTCTTTATAAACTCTCTAATAAAATTAGTGAAGTAAATGCATACATAATACTAATGATGAGATTTGAAATAATCTAATGTGTTGCGATGCTCTAATGCTAGAAGCGAGCTTTTATAAAGTTGAGTCCTCATTATGTGGGATCCTATGAAATCTTTCAAAGGGTTGGTAACGTTGCCAATCAATTGAAACTTCATAGTGAACTTTATTTGGTTTATCTGGTTTTCCATATTTCTATATTGAAAGAGTGTATATGTTATCCCTAGTCCATTCTTCATATTAAGGCTCTTGGTGTCAATGATAACCTCTCCTATGTGGAAGTTTCGCTTAAAATTCTTGATAGGCAAGTCAAGATGTTGAGGAATAAAGAGGTGGTTTCTGTAAAGGTCTTATAGAAAAATTATCTAGTTGAGGGTGAAACAAAGGAGGTCGAGGCAAACATGAAGTCCCGTTACCCTCATTTTATAAAAGAATTAATGTTAGTCATTATTTTTAAAAATAAAACCATGACTATAAATTGAAGTTTCTTGATTTTTGGGTGAAGTTTTGCACATTATGCATTTTGAAAAATAAATACTGTGAAGTTATTCTAGTATTTCTCTTAAGAACATGAAATTTTGATTTTTTGCTTGTGTTGAGTTATGTAGTGAGTTTTTATATGGTCGGTCTTTACGAAATGATAAGTATCGTGTTGTCTAGTTTCACTTTGTTCTAATTTACTCATGAAGAAGTGTTTTGATCTTTTTTGTTCGGTAATATGAGTTTTTATTTTTGACATTTTTAAATGATATGATTTATATTGACTTGATATCGTTGATTTGTAGGGTTGCTAGTCTTGAATAAATTCCTTCTTTAAAAAGAGTTTTGTTTTCATTAGTGGATGAGTGTTCCTAATGGGGGGATAATCAAACAACTTGAAAATCTAAGATACATTGTAAAGCCTAATATAGGTGTCATTCGATTTAAGTAATGTTTCTAAGTCCATTTTTAACGTATATAGATCATTTAGGAGGTTTAATAACCAAAACATCCAAAAACATCCATGACATACGAGAAGTTGGTTCAAAGGGATGTTAATTGTGCCTTAGCCCACTAGACTAACTTTTAGGGTCTTAAATGTACAAAAAATTGGTCACTATGAGTTTAGAGTGATGTCTTTTGGGTTGACTTATGCGTCGGCGACATTTATTAACATAACGAATAGGGTGTTCCGAAACTAGCTAGTTGCATTTGTGATTGTCTTCATGGTTGACATCTTGGTGTATTCAAAGTAAAATTTATCATACTTTTCATTTGTTAGTGGTTTTGCAAGACTTGAATAAACGCCACTTATTTTCCAATTATAGAAAAAAATTTGGTTAAGGTCTTAGGTTTTTTTTAGTCATGTCATATCTAGCGAAGGTGTCAAAATTTATCCAAACAAAATCAAGGCTGTGAGAAATAGGCGTAGACCTCTAGCTCCAATAGATATTTAAAAAGTTTCTTGAGCCTAATCGGGTATTACAGGAGGTTTGTGGATGGTTTTGCATCCAATGCATCTCCTTTGACTACTTTCACCCAAAAGAATGTGAAATTTGAGTGGTCAGAGACTTGTGAATGAAGTTTCCAAATCTTGAAAGATAGGATTACCACCACTCCAGTGTTAATTTTTTCGGAGTATACGAGGGTTACGTGGAATATTTTGACGCATCCCGAGTGGGATTATGTTGTTTCCTTAAACAAAACTCGAAGGATGTAGCCTCTTCATCTAGAAAACATAAGGTTCATAAGAAGAACTACCCAACTCATGATCTTGCGTTAGCGGTCATGGTATTTGCCTTGAAAATATGGCATTGCATCTATAGTGTTAATGTTAATTGGTATACCGAACACAAGATTCTTCAATATTTGTTTACCAAAGAAGAGTTAATTCCCCAAAAATAAAGATGGTTACAATTATTGAAAGATCGACATGAGTTTTCTCTACCACCCCACCAAGGCCAGCATGGTTTTTGATGCTCTAAGTCGTATGACCATGGGTGGTGTATCTTATGTAGAAGAGGGCAAAAATGACTTACTGAAATATGTTCATAGTTTGCTTGTTTGGGTGTTAGATTGGAAGATTCTCAAAATTGTGCTATTATGATCCATCATAACTCCAAATCATAATTGGTGGTTGAGGTGATGTCTAATCAACAACTTGATCCATCATTGATATAGTTAAAGGAATTTGTTCTTAATAATCAAGGAGGTTATGTGTGCCGAATGTGGAATATTTGAGAAATCAGATCCTACAAGAATCTCATGGTTCTCGTTATTCAATTAATTCATCTTCTACTAAGATGTATCACCAATTTAGATTAGCATTTTTGTGGTATAGCTTGAAAAGGGAAATACCAAAATTTTAATCAAAGATTCAAAATTACCAAAAAGTGAATGACGAGCTCCAAAAGTCGGGTGGTCTACTTCAAGAAATCTAAGTTTCGACTTGGAAGTGAGAAGACATAAATATGGACTTTATAGTGGGATTGCCTCGGACTCGAAGGCAAAATGATTCTATATGGGTAGTAGTGGATAGTATGACAAAGTACGCTCACTTTATTCCTGTTAAATTCCACTTACATGGTGGAGGATCATGATAAGATCTATATCGATGATATCATGATTCTTCATGGTATTTCGTTATTCGTCATATTGGAAAGGAGCGCACAATTCGCATCTTGCATTTAGATGTCATTAAAAAGGGTTTGGGTAAAAGAGTAAAGTTAAGCACTGCTTTTCATCCCCAAACAGATGGTAAAGCGGAGCATACCATTCAAACTCTTAGGGATATGCCTAGTTCCTCAGTGATAGATTTCAAGTGAATTCAGAATGAGAACTTGCCTTTGGTGCAGTTCTTTTATTAAAAGAATTACCATTTATCTATAGCAATGCCCCTTTTGAAGCTCTTTATGGTAGAAGCTGTAGATCTCTGATTGAATGGTTTGAAGTGGGTGAGTCTTCAATTCCTGGTCCAGACTTTATCTATAAGACCTTGAAAAAAGTTTATTTCAAAAGGAATCGATTGCAAAAATATTATTGTTGGCAAAAGTCTTATGGGGACAACAACAGAACAGAGTAAGAATTTGAAAAAGGTCATAAAGTGTATTTGAAAGATTCGCCCATGAAAGGGGTAGTGAGTTTTGGCAAGAACGTGAAGTTGAATCCTTGTTATGTGGGTTGGAAAGGATGCATTTGAGTTGAGATTACCTACTGAGCTAGCTTCTGTTCACCACGTTTTTCATGGATACATGCTTAAGAAGTGCATCGGTGACCCCGAGTCAATACTTCCTATTGAATTTCTAGGAGTGGTTGAAAATATCTCCTATGAAGACGTTCCTGTGGAAATTATTTATCGTCAAGTGAGGAGGTTCAGCAACAAAGAAGTGACCTATGTAAAAGTTTTATGGAGAAACCACCTAGTTGAGGGATCAACATGGGAGGCTGATGTCGAAATTAAGTCTTGTTCTCCTCATCTCTTTGATAATTTTAAGGTTACTTGTTCCTATTAGTAATGAAAATAATGATAAAATTTGAATTTGATTTTTTTTGCAAACATATGCATAGTATTGTAAAAGTTTATGTTAAAATAAATTTTTATTGGAAATTATGCTTTTTTACTTTATTGAACTTATTTGGTGTAGTTTGGTATGTTGTTGTTGCCTTTAAAAAGTTACATTGAGCAGGTTGATGTGTTTTAAAATGAGTTTTGGCATAAGTGCATCGTTATGTGTTGTTGAGCATATGATGTCATTAAGAAGTAAGTTCCTCATGTTGTGATGTTGAACTTATGATGTCATTGAGAAGGAAATCCCACCATGTTGTGATGTTGAGCTCTTATAGGTAGAAAATTATGTTTTGAGTTGATATGTGCAAATTCCATGTTGTGTTGTTCGTTTGAGTGCAATCATGATGATTATGTATGTTGATGGCTAGGCTACTAGTATTGAGTCCGTTTTCTTTCAATGATTTTTGTATCATTTGGGAACAAAGGCTCCTAAGAGGTGGATAATGTAACACTTCGAAAGTCCAAGACCTAATGTAGAGCCTCACATAAGTGTCCAAGGGTATTAATATTTTTAAGGTCAAAATTAAATGATATGAGTCATTTAGGATGTTTTAGAGTCAAGACATCAAGAAACGTCCATGACGTCCAGAGAATCGTGAAAGAGGTGCTAGTGTGTCTTAGCCTATTACACAAGATTTTTAGAGTCATAAATTGATGAAATTTGGTGGAAAGGTGTACAAATAGTGTTAGAACATGTTTAGGGTCCAAAGGACCAAAAAGCGATCAAAAGACAGCAGTACTCACGCCTACAATCGATAAGGCGTGAGCAAATCGATGAGGCGTCAATGCTTTTGTCAATGGCAACTTAATCAAATTCTGTAAAGGTGACAAAATGCAACTCACTGAACTTATCTACGTATGTACTGGAAAGAGGTGAACAATGCATGTTGACTGACCTACAACCCGTAAATCGAGGTCTCATAGGTCGGGTCTGCATTTCTCTTTGATATTTTTGTTTGTTTCATTTTATGTAGGTTAGTTAGGTAGTTAATTAGGTACTAGGGGTGGTTAATTACATTAATTAAGTTACTATATAACCTAACCTAATCCGAAACCCAACTTAATACCTTACTTTTCCAAAAACCAAATCGCTCTTCTTTATCTTTACTTTCTCTCTTCAAAGAAGATTCCATAGAAGACCAAACTCAATGAGTACTTAGGAATCAATAAGATTACTTTTCTCCACATTATTCATGGATTAACAATGTATGGGAACCTTTCATCTTATGGGACTTCACTGCCCAAAGGGTTCTTCAAAAATAGATTTTGAAAAAGATGATTTCATATGGGTTTCTTTATAATACGAATTTGATCTTCAAAATTATATTGTTTATGGTCCATTTAGGTGATTATAATTATATTACGTTTTATTATGTTTCATTTACATTTATTCATTATGAGTTAATTTAATTGTGGAATAGATCATTAATTGACATAAATTATTTTACTCTACGTGATGAACTCATATTGAATTGATTAGTGTTGATGCAATTGAGTTAGTTATTGTGTTAATTACTATTGTATGATGTTTTTACACCAACTAATGGATGAAAATTTATTGTTTGAGGGTTTGATCATTGATTATTGCTTTTGAAGGAGAAATTTGTATGACTTTGTGATCTCAAACCATTACTTCAATTGTGATGGCTTTTAATTGGTGATGAAGTTCAATTGAAGCATGCCTTGTGTTTGAATTATGTAGTGCTGGTCTAATTATGAAATTGAAATATCTTTATTAAGTGATTGTGAGATTATTTTTAAGATCTAATGATATAAGGTTGGTTATGAATTTCCAATGTGCCTGATTATGACATGATGATGAAGATGTGTTCATATCACTTATGAGAGTTTTATTGAAAGAACATTCTCATGAAATTCCTAATAAAATAATAATATTAATATACAAGGGTTTAGTCTCCTAAGGCCTATACTAAGCTACGATAATTAATAAAGGCTTAAAGACAGTTCAAAAAATGGACTCTAGCTTAGTACCATGTGAACAAGATGTAAGGTGTCCCTTCCCAGTATTGTAATGTATGTTCACTATTGTACTCATGAGATTGGAGACTATAATGCAATTTTTGTAAATAGGGTTCCAAATATATCTCATAGTTCTTGAAATATGTTCTCCCAATAGGAATACTAGCTAGTGGATCAACCTAGCATGACATATTCATGTTTTTCTACTACCTTGGCAAGTATTCCACCTATTTTGGTTTAGGTTTTCATGACACCAGATTCCACATTTAGCTCTTGTGGTCTATATTGGTTATGGAAAGTGTTCCCCAAAGTAAAATGAAGTAACAATGTGTACAATAACTAGGGTGACTTAAGGGATTTTACCTAATCTAGGTAGGGTTATGAAACACTAACTATACATTGCACTAGTTTGCCTTGAGAGAAGTCATGGAAGTTTGTTCTTATGTATAAAAAGTAAATATTATGCATATGTTGACCATACATGTTGATGATCCTATTTGATGTGAGTTCACCTATGATCATGCTAAAAGTCTATGTTGCTATTTATGACGATAATTGCTTTTGATGTCTAACTATATGAAGTTAGGTGATACTTCTTATCTTTTATTTGATTTACTTGTCTGAGTTAGGTTATGGGGTTTTGCTTGGTCATTGCACATGTCGACTTGATGAAGGGTTGCATATGATGTAGTGTTATGAACTCTTATGTATGATTTGTTTTTATAGCATGATGCTGGAGTTGTTGACAATGTACCCAAAAATGTAAGCATACAAATTGATTTGGTTAGTCCTTAATGATGTTGGTCTTGTGTTGTACATCGTTCTTACGTTGATTGGTATTTCTTATGATCATGACGGATACGATTGTGATCATTATGTGGTATGTCCTGTTGTATATGCATTAATGGTTTCTAAATGACTAGCACTTCTTCAAAAGTAAATATCCCTTTCTTATGTATTCTTTCATATGTTTTATATGAATTTTTCTATAATTAGTACATGATGTATACTAACCCATTCTCTATATTTACTACAAATAAAGGTTCCTACCTTTGAGCTTTTAGAGGGCCATCGAAGAATACTTTGATTTATTCTCCATGTTCAGTAGCTCTTCACTTTTCGAGGACGATGCCACTACGTCTCTATTGGATATTGTTTAGTCTAAAAGTCACTTTTGTTCATTCTCTTTAATTTGAAGACTAAGCTTGTATATGCCTATATGTGGCTTTTATTGTAATGAAGTACTACAGGCTATTACCAATGTTGTAATCATTCTTGTTTTTATTATATGAAGTATCATAGACTTTTTATAAATCAATATTGATATCTTATGTATGTGAAAAAAAAAGTAGAAGCCTATGTAGTGTTTCCTATGCGAAGAGTCTATGTAATCTGCCTATGTATATATTATGTGTATGTCGAGAGGTCTATGTAAACCTGAATGTGGAAAAAAAAAGAAGTTTTGAATTTTCCATAATTTAGTGTATGAAATTTAATGAAGAATGCTAAGAGGTTAGTCCTAGTCTTCTTCAAGGACGACAACATTCGTTACTTATAAGGGGTTTTCCCCTGATATGACAATAATACTACTCCGCTGGTAGCGGAGTTCTCGTCAAATAGTTAACCGCATTAACCTTCTCTGGCCCTCCAGTCACATATTTTAATTCCAATCCTTAATCAATTCTTATCTGTGTCATCTCTTCGAGAATGTCATCTTTGGCCGGGTTGTTTATAGCTTGAATGGCGAATGTGTTTCTCCTAGTGTCTTACTTTATGGTGCTCCAAATTTTGTTATTGTGAGAAATCGTCTTAATTTTCTCAGTAATGCGTGCCCACGATCATTCTCAATAATAACCTCTTTCAATAGAATCAAGCACTGCATTAAAATTTTCAGCTAGTCCCCAATATAAGTACACATTAAACCACTCTTCATCAACATGGTGATTTAGGACACCTCTCATCAAGGCAGTGAATCAATTCCAAGAATTACTCACACACTCACCAGGTTGAACTACAAAGTTGTTGAGCATGTAATTCTTAATATTATTCCTTAACACTAGAAATATTCTTTCTAGAAATGCTTTTGTCAACTTATCCCATGTATAAATAGAGTTGTAGGGGATCTCGTTGATCCATATCGATGAATCTCCGGTCAATGATAGAGGGAACACCCTCAACCCTATGACATATCCCAATCTCGTAGACCTATGATACTTTGGTGGAAAAAATTTATGTGAGCATGTGGATCATCCGATAGCATCCCCTAATTATGAACACAAGATTTGTCATATTCAACTTTAAAAAATCAATAATTGCTAAGATTTGCAAAAATTAATCTCCAAAGACTCAAACTAGAACAATAGTACTAGTACCCAACTCCAAACACAGTTTTAGTACCCTATTTATTGAAAGAAACTCCTAATTAGAAATGAAACAAATAAGGAGAATTTGTTAATAAAAGCATTTTCATTATGCGAGACCAACTTAGGGTACGTAAGTCTTTTTCATCAGCCAACACATAGAAAAAAATATCTCAGCATCCAAAGTTTCACCTTCTTGAATCAAAGGACAATAAGTAAGTTCTTTCAATCTATGAACGGTCCACAAATTCCCACTAGAACTCCATACTTAGAATCTTCAAAAACCAGATACTAGAAAATTCTCTGAATCAATCGACGATTGACCAGAACAATTTGTCAACTAATTGACAGAACATCAACGCTTGTCGTGGTTCTACACTTTCTAAGATTCCCTGATTTCATCTTTTTCCTGCGCAGCCCATCTATGATGCAAGTCTATGGGACATTAATGGATCTACAATCCGTCGATTGCCTACGTATACGGGATTTTTTGCACGTCTTCAGTTGTCTCTTTAATGTTGTGCCTCAACATCTTTTATGAAAACATGATACAAAACAATAAAAATCACTAGACAAAGGCTTTAGACACGCACAACTCTTAAGTTGAATTTATTAGAAATACAATAAACTCACAGTACATAAATAGTCTATGATATTAATGATTTGAAACAAGTAGCAACCAAAGGTATTTCTTTTAACCGAATGGTCTAAAATTGAGACTAATGTTTGACGTAATGAATCAGTCAATCATCTGTAAGGATATTACTTTTTTGACGCAAAACTTATTCCACTTTGGGCAACACTCACACATAACTTGAAGACCAAAATACTTGAATTCATTGCAGGAATTTATTAAAATGGCCATAAGTTTATACAGTTGCTAACCTGTTCAATGGAGCCATAAACCTTTCTATTTTACTTATTCAAAACCACTAAGTGCTAGATTTTTTGTTACATTCCCATTAAAGTAATAATATATAAAGAGATTTGACAACTTTTTTAATTTCATTAGCTTCATCTTTTATAAAAAAAAAATGACCAGTTGAATGAAAGAGATATATGATTCCTTGATCCCTATGAGTAAACAAATTTTTTAAGATATCAAGCTTCAGGTGCAGTTTAAATTTACCCCCATATTTTAGAGGCTTATTCCCAATGTATGAACAATAATTTATTGAAAATGAAGTCGGATTGGGACAAATTCTCATAATGTCCAACAAAGAGTGATAAAAGTAAACTAGTCTGATTGAAAAAAGGCATTTGTACTTCTTCGGTAGTGGGAAGTAAAATAAGAGAGTTAAAATATAGAAAAACACCTATTAATTATTGAAAGAGTTATAAAGAGGGACCTCCCTCGCACTCTTATCATCGTCGGTTGCTCGGCTCGACTTTGGCTTTGGCTTCGGAAATTGATCGATTGAGAGATTATTTTTTAGATCAATTTTATTTTAATTATTTTATTATTTATGCATTTAATTAATTAGGTTCAATAAAATCTCCTATTTTTGAAAAATAATTAGTTAATTAACTAAAATATCTTAATCAATTAGTTAATTAAGCGACAACTTAGATACCCGCACGACCCGTGTAATATTAATTCTTTTCCTATTTCATTTTAATTTCCCACAGTTTGAAGTGACTGTTCTGAAAGGTTTAAACTTTAAAGAATAACCATGACCATTGGAAAAATTGAAACTTTCATGAATGTTCGAGTGGATTTATATCACCCTTAAACAACTCAAGGTGAAGTAGAGCTTCGTGATTGTTTCATGAGTTAATTCTGTGTTAAAATGAGTTATCTTAGTGTCCTTATTCAGTATGTGAATTTTAGTTAAGTTTGGAGGTGAAACGTCCAAGAACGTCCATGATGTTTTGAAGGTTTGTCTTAGAAAGTGCTTGTGTGTGTTCATGTGTTTGAGTGAGTTTTACGTGTTTGTTTTGCTTGAAATTAGTGTGAGATTTTATAAATACCAAGATGACTATATTTATGGGTTTAAATTCCGGGCAAGACCCCACCTAGGACCCACAAGAGTCCCTAGAGAAGGGCCCAAGAAAAGGACCCAAGACTGTCTTGCCATTGTGTACCAACGAGGGCAATCAATGGCCAATTGTCCAATCAACGACCCGTCGACTTTCCCCCTCTTTTGGACCTTAAGGGTAGGATATACAGGCCCCAAATGAAATTTAAAACGAACTAAACACTAACAGCAGGCCGTTAATGGACAAAGGGTCAGTTGGTTGGATACGTTATTGAGACTGCCCCGGAAGCTGTCATCTTCTTGCATTTACTTAGGGTGTTTGGTAAATTGACCCAATCTCTTTTATGAACCTAGGGTGATAGTTTTAGGTTTTTTATGTATATTAACATGTTTTAAACCCTATGACCTAATTATAGACCTCATTTCCTAAAACCCAAAGCCCCTCTCTCTTAAAACTCTCTCAAGTCTACATAGAATTTAAAAGTTTAGAAGGGCTAGAAGGTGTTGGTGGTGGTCAAGAAATTCATCCAGAATCATTGGGTTTTCTTCTATGTGAGGTATGTTATTCATCCTTAAACTATATTCTATTCAAGGAGACACTTTCGAATAGATTTCAAAAAGACTTGTCCAACCCTAACTTCTTCTATCTTTGGCTCTAAATATGGGTCTTTCCTGAATACGTTTTAAATCATTCAAATATGATGTTTCTAATTTTAATTGGTTATTTTAAGAATAAAATTTTAATTAAAATATATTAATGCTTTATGTTAAATTTTGGCTTAAGGAATGGGTTAAATGAGCATGAATGTGTAATTTTTATGCTTTGGTTGAGTTGATGTCTTTGTTTAGCTATTGCCCTATGGTCTATTTTATGATTAGCAGTTGAATAAAATGTTATTTATAATGGAAACTCAGATTAAAGGGTAAGTTGGTTATGTTTTTTAGATTTAATTATGAAATACTCTTGAGTGGTATGGCATACCTTCTTGGTGGTGGTGTTTACTTGAATAGTATGAATGTCTAGTTACTTGTGTATTGTGAATGATGCCAAGAAGGCATGTTATGTGACGAAATATGGAAATGAAGTTATTCTTGTTAATGTGTTATATGAACCTTGTTAAGAGAAGTATGCTAAGGATTATGTCAAAATGTCTTATATACTTATGTGAAGCATGTTAAAGTGTGTGATGTAATGAAAGAAGGTGTAAGCATGTATAGAATGAAACGTAAATTAAATGATGATAATATGCAAGGTGTGTTCACATGTACACACACACTCACACTTGAATGAATGAATGAAGCTAAGTTAAGTCAAAAAGGAGAATTTTGGGGTGAACACCATTCGTGAGTTTAGAAGAACTGTTAGTAGAAACCTCACTATTCCCAAGATATTTCTAATGTAGGTTGAAGGATAGATACACTTCCAGAGTTGAGATGTGGTGTCCAAAAGTTATCCTTGACCTTTGGTAGTGAATGTTGAGAATTTGTGCGGAGTTATCCCTATAACCAAGAGGATATGAGGAAGTGGTGGTTACACTTGATGAGTTTAGATGTTGTATTCTAATGTAGCTCCTGAGATGAGTACTCCTCGTTAGTAGAGAATGAGTACCTTAATAGCAATCTTCTTATACCTTAAATATGCACCCTCCTAGGTGTAGCTATTAGGAAAGCCATGTAAAAGCTAAAATTAAGACATCAATCTAGGCAAGCGAGGGGACCCTTATTCGATAAGGCAATATAAGGATTCCATGTGTACAACTTAGGGTAGGTAGTGGCATGGAGGCTATTTATCCATTGTACTAGGTAGGAATTCTTAAAGAGAGTCTTGGTGAGTCTTTTATGAATTAAATGAACTAAGTCTCCTAAAATAATGTACTAATTATGGTAGGTACTTGAATGGGACACTATCTGCCCATTACACTAAGTAGATCTTCTGAAAGGGGTGTCTTCGTGCTAAGCCTTCTTAAAGAGTGTA